CTTAGACCCAAAACCGTCCATTTTAACTTAAAATTTAGGTTGAAACAATAACATAGGTTTAAAACCGAACCATTTAAGCTAAAAAAAACACTTTTCTTATTTAAATTGCAAACTAAAATTTAAACTTTAATCATATATCACTAATAAAATTGATATAAAAATACTAAGTTACATATATGTTAAAACGTTAGACACCTTTATTTATCTATCTATCAGATTCGACACTTTAAACCTATGAGAAGAGAGAAACTATAAGAAATTGAAGGAAATAATATTTATAGCTAACAAAATAATCGGTTTTGGGCATGAATCAATTAGGGAGGGGCGACAACCGGAACCGACGCAATTATTTATTTCAACTTAATAATGGAGCCGGATCCTTTATAAATGGTTGGGTCAATTCGGGCCAGCCGGGTAGACCTGAACCGTTGACAGTCCCTTCAAGAACATGAACGATGATAGCGATTGTGCTGCAGCAAGGTTGGTATCCCTTTTCCTTCTCCCTTCGGACCTATACTTCGAGGTAAGGACCTTTCAAAACCGCATTGCTTTATTGTCATTTTTTGTGGTTGTAACTTCTTTTAATTTTCTAATACTCCCCTTGGCTTCTACAGTCATTGCCACTTCCATGAGCTTGTGTCATTGGAGCTAATTCAAGCATTCAAATTGGAGCAGTAGTCCACCGAGGTCTTGCATACGCTAGAGTCCAAAATGAGCCACTCTAACCCATTTCTTCTATATTCACTTGTAAACTATTTCTCGTCCACCTGTTTCTGATTAGATATTCTTGAGAGGTGAAGGGCGTGAGCGCAAAGGAGACTCGGAAGCGATATGGATGCGGAAGCTGTACAGGTATGCATTTTTTGTACAATGTCTACATACCTAAATTATATCATTTTTGGAAGACAAGGTCTATCTGTCATAGCAGTGGCACGGGTATGTGTCTGTTGTAGAATGTCTACATCCCTAAATTTTAACACTTTTGGAATATATGGTTTGCTAGTTGTGGAGGTGACCATAATATCCTTGGTTTTTATGGGTGCAGGCACAAAGAATGCTCGAGTTGCGGGCAAGATGCGCAACCTCTCGCGGCAATACTATAAGGAAGCCGATCAACTCTTCGGCGTAAGTTTTTCAATTCTCAACTTCATTCGGTGCTCGTTTTGGTGTATGGGTTAGTATTTTGCTTTGGTTATATGCATAGTTTTAGATTGCTCGAGGCATTGCTACTTTTGGCGATCGGCTTTTCGGCTCCTGCGCCTTACCATTGTTCCCGGTTTTTGATATCAATGAAAGTATAGGAAACATCCCATGCTTAATTCAGTTCTGTTTTTCTTTTTTTTAATTACGTGGGATAAATGACTGGATGTTGTTGTGGGTGTGTGGGTTACTAACTGCTCAATTGCCGTTGTTGTGCCTGTAACTTCTCTTCGTTTGTTAATAACCCTCATGATTGACACCTTCATGCATTGCCACTTTCAGGAGATTGCATCCGCGGAACTGATTCAAGCGTTCGAATTGTAGCAGTGATCAGCCAAAGCCTCGCATACGCTGGAGTACAGAATGAGAAACTTTAACCCATTTCTTCTTTATTCTCGCTTAGACTTTTTTCTTCTCCACCTATTTCCGACTAGAAATTCTTGATAGGTGAATGGCGTGGGCGTGGAAAGGAGACTCAAAATTGAGACGGATTCGGAAGCGTCAGAGGTATGTGATAGTTGTCGAATGTGTGCATCCCTAAATTTTAAAACTTTTAGAAGAAAAGGTTTGTCGGTAGTGGAGGTGACAATGATATCCTTGGTTCTTATGGGTGCAGGCACGAAGAATGCTCGACTTGCGGGTTATATCTGTTGGAACTTTTTCTAAGGGCTTCTCTTGCTTTATTGCTGTTTTTGTGGTTGTAACTTCTTTTAATGTTTAATACTCCCCTGGGCTTCTACAGGCATTGCCACTTCCAAGAGATTGCATCATTGGAGCTCATTCAAGCGTTCGAATTGGAGCAGTAGTCCGTCGAGGCCTTGCATACGCTGGAGTCCAGAATAAGCCAATCTAACCCATTTCTTCTATATTCACTTCTAAACTATTTCTCGTCCACCTATTCCTGATTAGATTTTCTTGACAGGTGAAGGATGTGAGCACAAAGGAGATTCGGAAGCGATACAGATGCGGAAGTTGTACATGTATGCGTTTTTTGTACATTGTCAGCATACCTAAATTAAATCATTTTTGGAAGACAAGGTCTGCCGGTCGTGGCAGTGGCTATAATATACTTGGGTCTTATGGGTGTAGTCACGAAGAATGCCCGACTTGCGGGCAGGATGCACAACCTCTTGCGGAAAAACTGTAAGGAAGCCGATCAACTCTTCGATGTAAGCTTCTTAATGTAAGTATAGGAAACATCCCGTGTTTAATTCAGTTCTGTTTTCTTTTAATTCCGTAGGATAACTGAATGGATGTTTCTTGTGGGTGTGTGGGTTACTAATTGCTCTATTGCCATTGTTCTGATTGTAATTTTTCTGAATTTATTAATAATCCTCATCACCGTCACCTTCATGCGTTGCCACTTTCAAGAGCTTGCATCCGCGGAGCCGATTCAAGCATTCGAATTGTAGCAGGGAACAGCAATGTCCTCGCATACGCTGGAGTCTAGATTGAGCCACTCTAACCCATTTCTTTTGTATACACTCTTAAACCTTTCATTCTCCACCCATTTCTAATTAGACATTCTTTGCAGGTGAATGGCGTGGGTGTGGAAAGAAGGCTCGGAAGTGATACGGATTTGGAAGCGGTACGGATATGTGTTTGTTGTAGAATGTCTACATCCCTAAATTTTAACACTTTTGGAATATAAGGTTTGCCAGTTGTGGAGGTGACCATAATATCCTTGGTTCTTATGGGTATAGGCATGAAGAATGCTCGACTTGCGGGCAAGATGCACAACCTCTCGCGACAATACTATAAGGAAGTTGATCAACTATTCGGTGTAAGTTTCTCAATTCTCAACTTCATTTGGTGTTCTCGTTTGGGTGTATGGGTTAGTATTTTGCTTTGGTTATATGCGTAGTTTTGGCGATCGGCTTTGCTACTTTTGGCGATCGGCTTTCCGTCTCTTGCGCCTTACCATTGTTCCCGGTTTTCGATATCAATGAAAATATAAGAAACATCCTGTGCTTAATTCAGTTCTGTTTTATTTAAATTCCATGGGATAAATGAATGGATGTTGTTGTGGGTGTGTGGGTTACTAACTGCTCAATTGCCGTTGTTGTGCTTGTAACTTCTCTTCATTTGTTAATAACCGTCATGATTGACACCGTCATGCATTGCCACTTTCAGGAGATTTCATCCGCAGAACTGATTCAAGCGTTCGAATTGTAGAAGTGATCAGCCAAAGCCTCGCATATGCTGGAGTCCAGAATGAGCCACTTTAACCCATTTCTTTTTTATTCTCTCTTAGACTTTTTTCTTCTCCACCTGTTTTCGACTAGAAATTCTTGACAGGTGAATGGCGTGGGCGTGGAAAGGAGACTCGAAAGTGAGACGGATTCAGAGGCGGCAGAGGTATGTGATAGTTGTCGAATGTGTGCATCCCTAAATTTTAAATTTTTTAGAAGAAAAGGTTTGCCGGTTGTGGAGGTGACAATGATATCCTTGGTTCTTATGGGTGCAGGCATGAAGAATGCTCGACTTGCGGGCAAGATGTGCAACCTCTTGCGACAATAATATAAGGAAGCCGATCAACTCTTCGACGTAAATTTCTCAAATCTCCGGTTCATTCGGTGTTCTCTTGTGGTTGTATTGGTTCCAAATTTGCTTGGGTTATATTTGCAGTTTTAGATTGATCGAGGCGTTGCAAATTTTGGGGATGGGCTTTCCGACTCCTGCACCTTACCTATGATTCCTGTTTTCGATATCAATATAAATATATGACACATCCCTAGCATAATTGACTTCTTTTATCTTTTAAATCCGTAAGATGAGTGACTGGATGTTTCTTGTGGGTGTGTGGGTTACTAATTGCTCTATTCCTGTCGTTGTGCATGTAACTTTTCTTAATTTTTTAATACTCTTCTTGACTGGCATATTCCGGCATTTCCGCTTTCAGGATATTGCATCCGCGGAGTTGATTCAATCGTTCGAATTGTTGCAACAACCAGCCATGGCCTCGCATACGCTGGAGCCCAGAATGAGCCACACCAACCCATTTCTTCTATATACACTCTTAAACCTTTTCTTCTCCACCGATTTCTAATTTGACATTCTTGACAGGTAAATGGCATGGGCGCGGAAAGGAGACTCGGAAGTGATACAGATTCGGAAGTGGCATAGGTATGTGTTTGTTGTATAATGTCTGCATTCCTAGATTTTAACACTATTCGAATATAAGTTTGCCGGTTGTGGAGGTGGCCATAATATCCTTGGTTCCTATGGGTAGGCACGAGGAATACTCGATTTGCAGACAAGCTGTGCAAACTCTCACGGCTTTACTATTAGAAAGCTGGTCCAATTTTCGGTGTAAGCTTCTCAAATCTCCACTTCATTCTGTGTTCTCTTTTGGTGTATGGCTTACTAATTCGCTCTGGTTAAATGTGTAGTTTTGGATTGCTCGAGGCGTTTCTACTTTTGGGCACCATACTACTGTTTTCGGTTTCCGTTAATAATGTAAATATATCTGACACATCCCTTGCCTAAAGGACTTCCATTTTCTTTTAATTCCTTCGATAAGTGATTAACTATTTCTCATCAATCTTTGAGTGGTGGCTCGACCGGAAATTGGCCGCCATTCAAGATAGGGCTGTCAACGGGTGGGATCCGTGTCCGTCTAGGTAGAAGCACTCCCGAGTAGATCATTAATTGGGACAAAACCTTAGACCCAAAACCATCCATTTTAACTTAAAATTTAGGTTGAAACAAAAACATAGGTTTAAAACCGAACCATTTAAGCTAAAAAATACCACTTTTCTTATTTAAATCGCAAACTAAAATTTAAACTTTAATCATATATCGTTAATAAAATTGATTGAAAAACACTAAGTTACTTATATGTTAAAACGTTAGACACCTTTATTTATCTATCTATCAGATTCGACATTTTAAACCTATGATAAGAGAGAAATTATAAGAAAATGAAGGAAATAATATATATGGCTAACAAAATAATCGGTTTTTGGCATGAATCGATTCGGGAGGGGCGAGAACCGGAACCGACCCAATTATTTATTTCAACATAATCATGGAGCCGGATCCTTTATAAATGGTTGGGTCKATTSGGGCYAGYCGRGTRGACCTGAACCGTTGACAGCCCCTTCAAGAACATGAACAGTGATAGCGATTGTGCTGCAGCAAGGTTGGTATCCCTTTTCCTTCTCCCTTCGGACCTGTACTTCGAGGTAAGGACCTTTCAAAACCGCACTCGATGTCCGTACCTTTGTTATTGAGGCATAAGATTTTGTCCTGCGAATTGGTTTTGGATTCGCATGAATTAATAAATTCTGCTAATGCAATTTCTGCCTTGTCATTGCAGGAACATTCTAATGGGTTCGCATTGTCAACTACCGTATCAGAATGACGACGATAGTGTAAGCCATCATTGGTTATATCTATTGGAACTTTTTATATGGGCTTCTCTTGCTTTAATGCCGTTTTCGTGGCTGTAACTTCTTTTAATATTTCAATACTCCTCTTGGCTTCTACAGGCATTGCCACTTCCATGAGATTGCGTCATTGGAGCTGATTCAAGCGTTCGAATTGGAGCATTAGTCCTCCGAGGACTTGCATACGCTAGAGTCCAGAATAAGCCACTCTAACCCATTTCTTCTATATTCACTTCTAAACTATTTTTCGTCTACCTGTTCCTGATTAGATATTCTTGACAGGTGAACGGCGTGAGCGCAAAGGAGACTCGGAAGCAATATGGATGCGGAAGTTGTATAGGTATGAGTTTTTTGTACAATGTTTGCATACCAAAATTAAATCATTTTTGGAAGACAAGGTCTATCGGTCATGGCAGTGGCTATAATATCCTTGGGTCTTATGAGTGCAGGCACGAAGAATGCTCGATAACGGCGTAAGCTTCTTAATGTAAGTATAGGAAACATCCCGTGTTTAATTCAGTTCCGTTTTCTTTTAATTCCGTAGGATAACTGAATGGATGTTTCTTGTGGATGTGTGGGATATTAATTGCTCTATTGCCATTGTTCTGTTTGTAATTTTTCTGAATTTATTAATAATCCTCATCACCATCACCTTCATGCGTTGCCACTTTCAAGAGCTTGCATCCGCGGAGCTGATTCAAGCATTTGAATTGTAGCAGTGAACAGCCATGGCCTTGTATACGCTGGAGTCTAGAATTAGCCACTCTAACCCATTTCTTCTGTATACACGCTTGAACCTTTCCTTCTCCACCCATTTCTAATTAGACATTCTTTGCAGGTGAATGGCGTGGGCGTGGAAAGAAGGCTCGGAAGTGATACGGATTCGGAA